AACAACCTCTAGTTCAATGCCAGACAATGAGAAAATTATATAAAATGATAAAATAATCAGAACTGACAAGAAATGCAACAATTTTCCAGTGATAAGGTGCTAGACAGTGCTAAGTCAAAGAAAAATATTCATTTAAACTATGACAAATGGGAAACATATGATTATCCATTGTTGATCATGAGATCATTGATTCTACAAAAAGAACAAATATTCTCTTACCTTGTATTTTCCAGATTGCAGTGTGTTCTTTAGCTGCTCCCATCGAACAACATTAATGTCTTCTTTTGAGCCTTTCTTAGTCTGCCACTTTCCCCGTAGCTCAGAAGTAGCAGCTGCAAAGATGGCATGAATTAAAGTAAAAATGGCAGGATGACATGGAAGTAACTTTATATGGAAGAATTATCATGAAATTTCTATACTTTTGTCTGGAATCATCTCCAGAATCTTCTCATATCTATCCTCGGTTGAAAATATATTCTGAGAGGGAAGCAATTTTGTCTCAAAAAAACGCTCAAGAACTTCAGAATACGACCTCCTGCATCACAAACTGTCTCAGTAGAAGAGTAAAACATTGAGAACTATGACAGGAAAAGGAATTAACAACAGTATGATGAAAGCTTACACGAGAAAAGGATGAAGGGCAGGACCAGTCAATGAAACCTTTTTGCTGCTATTTTCATTTCCCTGAATGGAGTACAGAATTCCATTAAAATTTTATCTGTATGAAAACAAATCTAATACAAGTATACAGCTTAAATATACCTTGTATACTCGAAAATAATCAGCTACAGCTGCCCTCTGTTCATTTGTCAACCTGCAGGAGTTACGGAAAAACATTTAAAACCTTTGAAACATATCATAGGAAACAAACAAAAAGAGATTAGCTTACAGCTTACAAGATGCTTTACCTTCTTGCTTTCCCATCACAGACCCAGCAATGGACACCACGCCGGCCACTATAAACCCACAGAATGTGGTTAAAGCCAAAGTCATCTGCATGACAAAACATAATTAAGTTCCACAAAAACATAACTTTAGGCTTTATATTTTGAGTTTCAAGTATTAGCGAGGCATTGAGCTAGCTATACTCCCCTCTTCTGACCTTCATGCCTGTAAATTGAACTGTGAGGGGGAGAATGAAGGGAAAAGAACCATTACTGGATGAAACCTCACTGCAACTGGAGGCTGAGCAGACAGAAAAGGAATCATAATGCTCATAGTGGCTTTTATTGTGGACAAAAGTGAAACTTTCACATTAGCCATTATTCTATATGGTGTTCATGTAAGTTCCAGCACTAGTCAGTATTCCATGGCATACATAGCGATTTGGTTAATAGAACCAGATTTTGGTAAGAGCTAATACAATGAGATTACAAAGCCCTTTTGACCTCGTTGTTTTGGTTTCCTTTTTGCTTCAGAGGACAGCTTGTTCTTGTAATCCTGTATTCACCTCCCCTCAATAAAGTACTCCTTTTATCCAGAACAGAAGAAGCAGGAATTTTGAATGAAGGCCATAGGGACTCCTACCTCTAAGTGCAGTATCAATCACTTTAATAGCAACTGTCATTAAAGGCCAGCATTCCAGGCAAACATCAGCTCCAGAGCAGCAATATCTAACATCATCATAGTCTGTTATATCCTGAAGAATTGGACCTTAAGCAAGTCAACTACCCATTTATTAACAATAAAATGTTAAACTAGGCTGTGATAATCCAGAGTCTTCAGCAGTGCAAATGGCTTACAATGTCAAATATTAGCTCTCTCTCCACTGGAGTAAAAACATTATCACCACTTTGGGCATATGCATTCTTCTTAGCAGGCTGCAAAGTAACAGTCAAACACAAAGCAAGTTTGAGAAAAAGGAACCAGAAAATTGCATAGGCAAAAACATGCATAACAACTAAAATAAACCAAATAACATAATCCCTCCTATGCTTAGGAACACCAACTTCCAATATCTAGCCCAGTATTGCAAAAAAGGTTGATCACTCTGTTAAAAGATCATACTGTAACATTGTATTAACAACACGTTAGTGTTCGCTGTAGGTCCAGAAATTGAAACCATGACGAAACTAATTGGCTTTAAATGCCTTTTTAAGCCCGAGAAACACATGACCCAAGTAACCACAGGCGAAAATAAATAAAGAGAAGTACAAAAATTCCACTTACATCTACACTGTAAACAGGACCGATATCGATTTTAAAGGGGCACTTCTCTTTGATTGAATTTTCAAGTTGAAGTACATTGTTGAAAGACTGGTACCGAAGGTAGATATCATTTTCCAGTGTAAAAGAAAACTCTCTCCGGCCGAAGTAAGACTGGTCACAAGCCGGATGCTTCCCATCTACAAATAATAAGCATCAATTAGGCATAAAACAATATGCGCCCACACCAACAACCCCCACCCCCCCCCCCCAC